TAATCAATCAATTAATCAATTAATCATAATTTACCAATTAATAATTAAACATTTTTAATTCTTTCTAAACTAAATTTAAAAAAAAAAAAAGGAAAAAAACTATACAACATACTTGTAAAATGGAGACTTGTGATTCACAGAAATCAAGGAGAAATTAATGATTTGAAAGTGATGGATAGACCTACAAAATAAATAACAACAAAATAAGTTAATAAATTGAAAAAGGTAAAAACCAGACTAATGGAAATAAAAATTATAACAAAAAAATATATTCATTTATGCACATTAAAATTTTTAGATTAAATATAAATTATATGATAAAAAATCAAAACATAAAATTTAACTAGCCTTCACACAAATTAATGAGGTAGAATAATGGATCAAGACACAAAGAGGTTGAAGACAATTATTGATGGCAATTGACCAAAATAGTGAAAAAAAACCTAAGCTGCATAGTCCAAAATACTATGCAGTCCATTATTTCGATCAAATACAATGATCGAAATACCATCAAGATCAAAATCGTGATCTGCTTCATATCAAATCAGATCAGATCATTTTTTTGGTCAGTTAAATTGATCGAATTGAAAATATTTTATGTTATTAATAATATTTAATATTAAAAAAACTACACATTTTTTCGGCATGTTATTCGATCAGTTTATTTGACCAAATAAGCCTTCCTTCTGAATTCGATTAAATTTCATAATCGATTTAGTTTTGGCATCATTTTGCACCTAACTAATTCGGTCAAATTGCTTGACTGAAGTAATTTTTAAATGAATTATACTCCTTTTTGGTTTTTTTGTGAAAAATCCTTTTTTTTTTGTCGTTTAATATGTCCAAAATATGTGTTTTTTTTATTAAAAAAATTACTTGATCGATGACCAAAATGGTCAATATTCTAGTAATGAGGGATCAAAATTGATATTTAACCTATGAAAAATGAACATTTTAGACTTAACAAAAAGCCTTAGCTAATCTTCTATGTATCCAAAAGAAAAGAAAAGAAAAAAACAAAAGGAAGCCTTGGATTTTAATTGTAAGGCTTAGGGTCTATTTGGTATTTTAATTAAAATCTAGCAAATAATTGGTAATGAATAGTAGATAACAGGTAAAGAATAATAATTAGCAAATAGTAAATAGTAGATAATAAATTTTTATTCATTTATTTATTTGATTATATCATAATTAATAGTTGTTATTTGACATTAAAATATTAATAAGGGTACGTTTGAAAGTAATTAAATGTATTT